AACAAGGCAGGGCAGGAGTGAACACAACATGACACATACTTAGGAGAGACTGTCAAAGTAAAACAGGAAGTACACAGAGGTTCAGACAGGAGGAGAGAGAGCACGGGGAGAGCACGGACATAACGGGCTGGGGAAAACATGGAATAAAACACAAGGAGGGGAAACAAGGGTTCACAGATAGACAGAATGGGCACACAGGGGGTTACTGAATAAGAAACATCTTAACTAAACAACCTAGGAACCAAGGCATAAATAAAGAACAAAATACAAGAACACACGAAAACTATGAATACTGGGCCTATATGGCCCAGGACCATGACAGAAATTGCATCCCAAATAACATGACTTTTCCTGCACCCATGTTCATTACGGACAATAAATTGAAGTAAAACTTAGGTCTTGAATGGTAGAACCTCAAAAAGGGAATGTCTTTGCAGCCGCAGGGTTAGTGACAGGCTGTTGAACATCCAAAAAAACATCTTGTTAAAACTGCGTCTTGGTGTTTTATAACGACGCTTACAAGCAATGTCAGTTCCATTACAGAAGAGTGGTAGTTAAAGAGACCATCCCATCATCCGGAAGGTGACTGATTTTTATCTGCGCGGCAGCTACCCTAAAAGACCCTCAAATGCCCCGCAGCCACGTTTATTCTTGAGTCAAGTTTTTATGTTGAGTGATCGATTTGTTCAACCTCCTTTAAATGTTTAATTAACCTAGACCCAGAGTAAAATGTCACTAATATGAAATCCTCAGATCCTTTATCACAGCCAGCTGAGCTGGAAGCAATTTTGTGAGTATTAGGAGATGACATTTTCCCCTGGCAGACATCTTATGGGGGATTCAAACTAGTTGCAGTCACAGTGGAACAGAAGTCCTGCGAAGAAAAATTAGTTTAGTGTACATTTATGTGTGATCTGCACATTAGCCTTGAAGCAGAATCATGCCTCACTTGCATTTGGATTTTCATAAACGGTTAATGTGGCATATGCTTAAAATACACATTTGCTTTCTTACTGAATGCTACAGTTTGTTTTTTAATGGATATTAATGTTCAGGCATCAATTTTAATGTTATTGGGAGGTCAGTTGAGATTCGACTTGAAGAAAATATCCATGTTTAGTTGTTGTTGAAGTTGCAAAACACTTTTCTCCTTCCACATCTTTGGCATAATCTCAAAGCTGAAAATCTAGCTGTCGGGCAAAGTTTTTTTTCGGTGGGGGGAGACGAATTATAGTGATTGTATCATCTGTAAATCTCTCTTTGAGCGCAGATCATTGGTAGCACGCCTGTTAATGGATCCAATTTGAGCTGGATGGAGATGTACTTAAACACCCTTGCGCTCCCTATTTAAACAGTTTAACTGAAATTGGTTGTGTTGTGACTCTTGTGTCCTTGTAAAGCCACTGTTTCACTGTATTAGACCAACTGTTTGTATTCATCTTGAAGCAAAGCCCGTGTTGTGCAGAGAATGTCAATAGAATGTTTATTACTATTACTAACAGTTTTTATTTCCTAAGCATGAATATCTGAGCTCATTAGAAGGGGAAATAAAAACATGTATCATTTTCTGGGTAAATAAAAGTGAATATAGAACTTAGCTAGCAAAACCAACATAAAAAAAAAAATAACAAAAGTGACAATGCACTGGCCTATCAAGGTGAACTTGTGTGAATTGTACTTTTTTTTTTTTGTTTTACTTTTTATGTCAAGATAGGTTGACAGATGATGTCAGGACAGAGTCTACATGGATTAGGATGTTTGTAGGTGACCCTGATCTGCAGTCAGAGTAGGGAGCAGGTGGAAGATGGTCTGGAGTGTTGGAGGTATGCTCTAGTGAGAAGTGGAATGAAAGCCGGTGGAGGCAAGACAGAATATGTGTGTGAATGAGAGGGAGACAGTTGTAACAGGGAAGATGCAAAGAGTGGAGGTAGTGTAGGTACATGACTTTAAATACATGCTACAAAAAGACAGGAGGCCGAACTGGAGGTGGCAGAACTGAAGATTTTAAGATTTTTACTGGGAGTGGCCAACAACATTACATTAGTGTACATTGGTGGGACACCACAGGTGGAGCTGGTAAAGAAGCAAGCTTAACATGGTTTGGACATATGTAGAGTACCAAGGCTGTTTGATATGGAGCTGCTAGGCAGGAGAAGAAGCAGAAAATTAGAAGATTCATGGTGAAAGGGAAAGGGAACATGCAGATGAGTATGCTAGAGACCAGAATCTGCAGTGGCAACCCCTGAAAGAAGATGATTTATGTCATCAATTAAACAAAATCAAAAAGATGAAAACATTGTAACAATTTTTTTTCTCCTTCCATGTCTCATCCTTTTTCATCAGGTGTGTACTCCTGCCTCTCTTGAGTGTGAAGCCTCCTCAGCAGGCACTCTTCCTGCTTGTGGACTCCATTGATGAAGGCAGTCAGCTGGGTGAGGGGGAACAGAGGTCCTCCCCGGGTTCTCCCAGGACCATTGCAGAGCTCCTGGCCAGTCACCACGAGTTTCTGCCTCCTTGGCTGCTGCTCATCTGCTCCGCACGACGACAGAACAAAGCCATTACCAAACTATTCACAGGTAAATGGTTCAACTTTTCTCGTTGCTCAGTTAAGATAACTGTTCTCCAATGTAGAGGCAATTTTCCAAAAGCTTTAGGGTGTTACATGTACTTTTTTTAAAAAATCAATACATCATTGTCAAAATCACTGTGATACCATTATTACAACTGAGCTGAGCTGTTGAAAAGAGACAGTTTGATGTATGAGAAAGTACTTGCAATTGTCAGTACTGTTGTATGCTTGTTCCGCTTGATGGCAACCATTTTTCAGATTTAATAATACATATTTTGACAAAAAAATACAGCAGTTACAAACAAAGCCTGCAGCATCGTTCTTTTTTTTTTTTTTTTTTTGGTCACTGCTTCGAATGCTTTCTAACATTATGACATGCCTGAAGGGATTAGTCACCACTGCAGACTTCTGTAAGAGATGCAGCTTTTCCTTGTCTTGTGACACTGTACCATACCCACTGCTATTATCTCCTTGTCAGGCCAGCAGCCTACTCTGTGGCGATGAGCTGGCATAACATTAATCAAAAACCTAACTGTGTGGGAGGAAGTTGCCTCTGCAGACTCGCATTACTGCGTGTCCCCCGTCTACCTTTCCAAAGCCATTGAATGTGGGAGCTTCTAGTGCCCTCACCTTACCTTTTTTACTGTTACACAACATCCCAGCATTCTGAATAGTTGTGCTGCTCCCTCCTCAGGAGGTGCTTGCAGTCAGGTTTGGGGATGAACAAGCTACATGCGTTCTTCCTTTTGTTCCTGCATAAATTATGAAATGCCTATGTTTGTATGATCTAATTCTCCAAAAGCAGTTCTATTTGGTAGTGCTCCTATTTCTATTAATTTTATATTGGAATTAGGGGTGGGCGATAGAAACAATATACGATAGAAACAATATAAATTTGGCCAACAATAGAGATTTTGACTATATCGCTCTATCGCGATAGCGCATGTTGATGATGTCATCAAGCTGCGCCTGTTTTGGTCGAAAGCATCGCAGCGGCTAAAACCGTTATCATCTGCAAATTATGGCGGGCGACAGTTTTGAATTATGGGGAAAGCAAAAAAACTGCGCTTCCTCCACTTCCGTAACATTGATTCATTAATGTTGAATTCTCTCGCAGCTGCTCTATTCCCATGTTGTTGCAGTATATTAATAACTAACCTGGTATTGTGGATGAATAATCTGTTGTTCTCCTGACTGAAGTTTGCTTCGTGTATAGCATTCTGCATGCGATTGCATTTGTCCCCAACCACCAGAATCCCTCACGTTAACTTTTATCGAGTGGAAAAAAAGTTGGCGTTCATCCTCCAGCTTCACTGTGCTAATGTTATGCTAACATAGCTGTGTCGCTAGCAATCACGTAGCACAACATTATATACCAGGTAGTCCAACTTCAGTAACCCTGCAAACGCCACTGCTGTGGTTTCCTGTCTTCATTTATGTTGGAAAGTGGTAGCAGAGCTGTACGTTTTAATTAGTTTCAAAAATCTCTCAGTCAGAATATGGTATGTCATGTTTAGGTGGAAACTAGCGAGCTAACTTCCTGCTAACTTCTAACTCCGTTAAATTTAATAAATTCTGTTTTCATGGATGCCTGGATGTTAAACTTAATTGTTACACCCGATAAAGCAGCAATGCTGATGATATAATTAAAGATGAAAGAATTTAGACCGTTTTTAACTCTTAGCGTACTTTGACTTTGGGACCTGAAGTGGACAGAGTTTTGGACCCAGATTACTCCGCGAAGCTCCTCACCACGGCAGCCGTAATGCTCTGACAATCCATCAAGCAGTGCGGCTTACCAAAGTTGTACTAAAACATTTTTTAACAGATTTCTGCAGCCAAAATCGGTTCAAGGTCAGTAAGCACAACCAGAATTCATACATAAGGCACACTCTTGATTTTTGAGAAAATTAAAGGATTTTAAGTGTGCCTTATAGTGTGGAAAATACGTTATACAGAAGAAAAGAATATATTGTGATATATATCATTATCGCACGTGCCTCAAATTATATCGCGATATGAATTTTAGGCCATATCGCCCAGCCCTAATTGGAATCCTGGACGGTCAACAAAAAAATGTCAGATTCTGTGTGCTCCAGCTTTTAAATCCCGCATTGGTTCTGTTATTTCTTCATGATGAGCTCTCACAATCGGGTATGATCGCGATTAGGTCTCTGTGCATAGTATGTACAGAAATGCATGGTAACAATATAATGTGCGCCTAAAATCCTATAGAATTAATAGGACAGGTAACAAGCATCCTTCTTTAATATCTAGCCCCAGCAGCAAATTAATTTGCTTGGCAGTCTGTTCATGTTCTGGCTTGTCTTCAGTGGATTATGTTGCTTGCCTCTTATCATTTTAGATAATACAAATAGTATTCCTGTATATATTCCAAATTAAATGCAACACTGTAATTAGAATTAAGAGGTCACGCTCAAAGTTGTTTTCAGGACTCTTAAAATATGCTTTCCATATATACAGCAGGTAAAGTAAATATTGAACGCATCACCAGTTTTCTTAGTAACTATATTTCTAAAGGTGCTATTGACATTAAATTTTCACCAGATGTTGGTAACCCCTCAATCCAATTCACACATGCAAAGTAATCAAACTATAGCTGTCCATATTTTAAGTTGTTTGTAATAATGAGACATGACACAGGGAAAAGCTGTTGAACACATGACGAAATGGAGGTGCAAAAAGACCTAGAAAGTCATGACAGCAGCTGAAATCTATCAGTAATTAGAAAGCAATCCTGCCACTTAATGCTAATGAATAACAGCTGGTTCAGTCCCTATAAAAAGGTATCTCATTACCAAAGATACAACCCATGATGGGTAAAACCAGTGAGCTCTTGCAAGACCTTGCAACCTTATTTTTGCAACAGATACTGATGGCATTGGTTGCAGAAGAATTTCAAAACCACTTGAAGATTCCAGTGAGCGCTGCTGGAGCCATAATCCAGGAGTGGAAAGAATATCATTTCACCATAAACTGGCTACTACCAGGTTCTCCCAGCACGATTTCAGACAGAGGAGTGAAAAGAATTATCAGATGAGCTTTCCAGGAGCCAAGGACCACTTGTGGAGAGCTACACAAAGAGTTGGAATCAGCAGGAACAATTGTTTTAAAGAAAATAATGGCCTGTATGCACGCTCGCTACACAAGACTTTGTTGCTAAAGAAAAAGCATGTTGGAGCAAGTTTAAAGTTTGCTGAGAAGCTCAAAAGGCACTGCATAACATCCCAAAAGTAAATATGTTTTGAGGTGGGACCATCATGGTGTGGGGCTGTTTTCCAGCATACGACAATGGCACGCTTCATATAATTAAAGGAAGGATAAATAGAAAACACATACAGAGACATTCCTAATAGAAAACTGCTGCCGTTAGGAGGATGAAGACTAAACGAGGATGGATGTTTCACCAAAACAATGATCCCAAACACAGCTGAGGAAACTCTGTTGGTTTCAGAGAAAGACAATAAAGCTGCTAGAATGGCCCAGTCAATCACCCGCTCTCAATCCAATGGAAAATCTATGGAAAGAACAAAAGTTCAAAGTTCATAGAAGGGGTCAAGGAAACCTTCAGGTATGTGTGTAAGAATGGGCCAAAATCACCCCTGAGCAATGCATGAGAAGAATTTCTCTATTAAATACATTAAATACATTTCAGTAAGCGTGTTCAATACTGTGTCATTTCTCATTATTACACTTAATTTTATGGACATCTATGGTTTGATTTCTTTGCTTGTGTGGATTGGATGGGACATCTGGTGAGAATTTCATCTCAATAGCACATTGTATTAACTTAGAAAACTGGTAACACATTTAGTACTTATTTAACCCGCTGTAGGTCTCCTGCAAGAAAATGAATTGTCAGCTATTTTGATCATTATTTCCGTGCAAAAGTTCCAGCCACTCCGTGGGTCTAGTTTCTCCATTGTGAGTTTGTTTCTTAGTCATTGTTTGTATAAGAGTGGAAACAGGAATTCAGGACACTAGAGTCTCACTTTGACTCGTTCGTGGGCATCGTGCATGTAATTCAACAAACCAACCGTGATGCAGGCTGCCCACTTCATAATTTCAAAGACACGCCCACCCACGCTTTCCTCCAACTTAAAAGGTTCTGTGTAGGAACTCGTGTGGATTGGTATCAGTTTAGTTTAAAGCGTTTTCCAAAACTTTGTGTCCACAGACAACACAGATGGAAGAAGTTTTATATTTGATTTTCTTTCGGCAGCAGTTTGTGTTTGGCCCAAATCATTAATTTCAATAGTGAGATTTTATCTGGTGTGCACTTCATGTTCAGAGCGGACTCATAGTGGAACATAGTCTTATATACCAAAGACAAAAATGTTTTTTTGGGGTTTTTTTGAACATGTTAGTTCTGTTTCTGCTTGTTGCGCCTCTTTTGTTTGTGCTTGTCTGTTGTTTTTTGTTTTTTGTTTTGTTTTTTTTATATGGTTTGAGGTGAGTTTCATCGTGGAACAATCTGATAAGTGGCAGTTATCTTCTTTTTCTCCATTTTTTGAAGCTCATTCTCTCTTTACTGCCTCTTTGTTGATGGCCAAGCTTTTGTTGAGCTCTTACTCCAATTGCCAAGCATTTAGTTCAAAAAGATTAATCTACTTTTGAAAAGAGTGCCAGCCTCACATCTGAGATGTGATGTCCCTACTTGAAGGGAGTGAAGGACATATTTGGTTTTGTTTTTCCTTTCCGTTTAGACTTGCTGATGTATTTTTATTTCTATGAACATATTCCACAGTTAATACCTTTTATTATTTCAGTTCTTTATCTAGTTTATGCACTGAAATCCTCCTGCAGAACTACAGTAAGCCTTGATCTAATGCTTTTAGCAGTGTCTTTGTTTTGTCTGGATCCAGTCTTCCGCTTTTAGTCCAGTGGTGGAAATTCTTCTACAAGACTGACTTTTTCCTTTTTTTTTCCATCACACATAGACGGATGTGGACTTGCACACACACACTCCCTCACTCACCCACAGTG